ATTAAGGTTTTACCAAATGCAAGGATTTGTATAGCGAATAAATCCTCGCCAACATTGATTTTCAAACTCTCGAAAAGTCAATTCATTAGTTTACCAATATAAAAAAAGAGAATGTGGTATGATTGACCATGAGACAACTGTTCACCAGTGACAAAATGACGTGGATGTGAGCAACTATAAGCCATCGTACGACCCTCAATAAAGACCAAAATCCATACCGTATAAACATTATATGTAGACAGTTCTCTCACAATAACAAAACCCTTAACTGTTAAATATAGATCATACAACAAAAACACGGGGACACATTTTACTGCATCCACTCTGGACGAGCAATGACATGGAAAGTTTATGTATGATGATATTATGTGGCCGAGTAATGTTAAGGCCTAGGGTAGAAAGCTCATTACTATCAACAGAGTTTACGTCTGTCCATCATTAATGAAAATCTTATTAAACACAAGAACGAGCAAAGATTTGTTTCTCTTTCCACACTGAACAAGGGAAATAAATAATACATAAAAAGGATAGTAAGAATTACAAAAAAAAATGAACAGTACAGTAGATCATACCAATCACTAGCTGACACTTTTTTTAAATCGTCGCTTGATATTTCCCGCCAAAACAAATTGAAAAATACACTCTTATATTTTCATTAAATCACTAGAGAAACAGATTGCTTCCTTGGTATTTTCTAACCTTTGTGTACCATATAAGTTTGATTTACATCCATTCTCGACATTTAAATTATCACTTTTAACAGCTCGCCAAGCCTTTATTTGTTTAATTACAAAAAATTTACTTTCTTGGGTGGATAAAATCATAATCAACAGTATTTGATAAACATATTTAATTCAAAGAGGCATGTGACGTTAAATAATCGTTGTTACATTTCTTTAATTGACCATAAATTTCAAAGACATTTTGAATTTAATGAGACCATCGAGTTGGGTGTTTTATCTTTTTGCAACCAATCGTCACATCCGTTAGTCACACAGTAGTAACATAATTTCATGCAGTTTGTTTCTGATAGTCTTCCTGTTGATGTTGAAGTACTGGATACCCAGATGAATGGCAAAGGTTAACAATAAAGCATTTACCGGACCAAATGAACGTTTGCAGAAATTAAAACGATGTGTTACATGGAAAACAGCGGAAATCCATGACCTGGAAGTAAATTTGCTGTTTTCAATATGGAGAGTTTAACATAGACGAGAAGATTTCTATTTAAAAGAAAAATACATTAATATATTATCGTTAATAGTCGTCCCGACAAGTTAATACTGAAGTGCATAACAACCAGGTGCTGGTTGAAAAAGTAACTTATCTGACAATAAAGCCTAGAAAATGAAGACGACCAAAGCCTTGATAATTATTTGTAAGACAATTTAAAAAAAAAAAAGCAAGAAACGTTAAAATTACCTAACTTGATTGTTGTACTTTATTCATAATACACACCAATATTACGGTTTTTTAGTCAACAAAACTGTACAAAATATTGATTGATTGATTGATTGACAAAGATATTTCTAATGGTCATACATGTTATAATTGCCTTCTATAAACACTAGAAAATGTTATTTCAACTTGACCACGCCTAACTCTTGGTGAGGAGCTTCCTCGTAAGCAATAGTCCTTAAATTCTCATAGACACTAGAGGTCAACATACGGTCTCAAAAAAGTATAAATATCTCGATCCGTATTGTGAAAAAATTTACCAGAGACTATCAAAGATCTACAATCGATACCAGATTTCATATCATGTCAGATAGACATATAATCGTCCCGACTGGTCAACATTCCAGATATAACTGATATGTCATGAATAGTTACTACAAAGTATACCTAATCCTGGTATTTAATTCTCGAGTGTGAAAACTGGTGAAGCGGGAACAATAGACAAGTAACTCTTCGTGTGATGATAAAGATGGCAAAAAACAGTTATTTACGTCGGAAACCAAACTGATTAAAGTTATTTCGAAACCACAAAAGAGAGGCGAAGGATACCAAAGAGGATTCAAACTCATAAGTTGAAAATAAACGGACAACGCCATGACTTAAAAAGAAAAAGACAAACAGACAAACAACAATACACAAAACACAACATATAAAACCAAAGACTGAGCAACACGAACCCCACCAAAAACTGGGGTTGATCTCAGGTCCTCACAATCTTACAATCGTACAGTTAGAAAAAAAAAATATCTGTTAAACTGTTTTAATTGAAATATACATATAAAAATAAGGAGATTTGGTATGATTGCCAATGAGACAACTATCCACCAAAGTTCTAATGCAGTGGACGTAAGCAATTATAGGCAACCGTACGGCCTTCAACAATGATTTGATTTGATTTGATTTTTGGTGTTTTAACGCCACTTTTAAGCACCGCTTTTGGACTATTTCGTGGCGGCCAGTTTTTATTGGTGGAGGAACCCGCAGTGCCCGGAGAAAACCACCGACCTTCGATAGGAAAACTGACAATCCTAGTCAATTAAGGTTGGAGTCGAGTGCAACCGCACGAGCGGGGTTCAAACTCACAACCTCAGTGTTGACTGGCTAATTGATTACAGTAGTAACTACTTAGACCACTCGGTCACCGAGGTCCCCGCCTTCAACGATGAGAAAAACCCGTACCGTACGGTCGGCTATAATAGGCCCCGACATGAAAAATATGAAACAATTCAATGGAGAAAACTAATGGCCTAATTTATAACAAAACAGTTTACGAAAAACAAATATGACAAACATGAACCAACGACAACCACTGAACAACAGGCTCCTGACTTGGGACAGGCACATAAATAATGTTGCGGGGTTAAACATGTTTATGAACGCTCAATCCTCCCCTAACCTGGGACAGTAGTGTAACAGTACAACATAAGAACAAACTATAAAAATCAGTTGAAAAGGCTTAACTCATCAGATGGATACAAATAGAAATACTACATCTAACAAAAACACAAAGTGGACGCGGACGGGTACTTAAACATCCCAAAAACAAAAAGACACCAAGTACAGATCTAAAATTACTCGTTATTAACAGTCAGAGAAAACATGACCTTGTGCAATGCCAAACTATATCGACAGATTGTAGTACAGTGAAAGTACACATGTGTAATATTTAGTATGGTTTTAATTTACTGATAACAAAATCAATATTTACACCAATAAAAACAATATTCAAAGATTTAATTAAAGTGTTGAATAGTTAACCTTTTAGAAGAAATTTATTGAAAGGATTAATAAGTTTACCCGGATCGTATCTAAATTTCCGGGCTCGGTTTACATCACCGTAAAATTTAGGATGTGCTATTCCTTTTGAAATAAGTTTTCTACAAGTACAGCCAAACTTGCAGACCAAATTTTTGTATCTATGAAAGAATTTTGTAAAGGATTTAAGTAATTTGTGGTAACGAAATCCCTTACTTAATAATTTACTAGTAATATATAGATTACGCTCATTAAAATCCAAAACGTCACTACAAACACGAGCATAGCGAACGAGTTGGGATATATAAACACCGTAAGACGGTGCCAAAGGATAATCACCGTCTAAAAAGGGAAAATTAAAAGTAGGGAAAGAAAAATTATCCCTTTTGTCATAAATGTTTGTGTAGAGTTTCTGGCGTAATACTGAAATATCTAAATCTAGGAATTGACAGTTATTGCTGTTGATATTAGATTTATTTAAAGTAAGTTCCTTTGTGTAAATTTCAGCAGTAAAGTTAGAGAATTCTTGATTATTTAACGAAAAAATATCATCAAGATAACGGTAAGTGTTTATCAATTAAATGGAATTTAGACGTTTCTTTACTGAGTTTGGACATAAGCTGTGATTCATAACAGTAAAGGAATAAGTCTGCTATTAAAGATGAAAATTGGTGCCCATAGGGATACCTACAATCTGTCGATAAACTTTATTGCCGAAACGTACATAAATGTTGTCAAGACGAAAATTAAGTGCTTTACTCATCTCGTTACACCTTCAGTAAGTATATCTAGCATATTTACCTTGTATACTGCCTTATGTATACTGTCTTATACCCATTATTTGAAGTGAGAATTGAATTACATGTGTGTTGCACTTTTATTTTCAAATGGTCTTTTATCTCCGCTGCATTCTGATTTAAAAAAATGGAAAATTCATGTACATACAAAATCTTAAGGTCTTTCCAAAACCAAGCTTACAAGACTACATATCAATCCCATTTGTTAAATATGAGAAAAATACTTATTACAAATTAAAGAAAAAAATACCATAAATTATCATATTATCATATACAAGTACGCGTTAGTGAGAAGTGGTTAGTGATTTTGGGAATTTGACTACTTCCTATATAATACAAAGTACTTATTCGTCGCAGTAAGGAGCCACTGAGACATGCTGCCATGACAAGGCATGATTCCGGGAAGCCTTTAGATCTTGTCTTAAAAAGACATTTTCCTTAAGCTAAAATATCATCGCAATCTAGTTATAAAACTCCAATCCACTGTATTATTTTTTTTTTATTATTTTAAACAGAAACATGAACAGGGTATTTTTTCATAGATATTATACCAAAAAATCATGCAAGTCTCCCTTACCCAAGCTATACCTCGAAGGTATTCATTTAAATCCACTTTATTTATGAGGCTTGGAAATGTCGAATATGATTGGCTTAGCAGCCGTGTACCTTTTGAAAGGAACAATAGTATTAAATGTCAGAAATCGGTATCCTTTTTATATTGTAATACTGTGCGTATCTGGTTTGTTTGTTAACGCTATTGATAATCTTTAATGTGTACGAATTCAATGACGGGTTGTCTTTGAACCAAAAATCTTATCTATTTGGAAATCTTACAATTTCTGTGCACCAAAAATGCTCGCATTGACATATAAGTGCTTACATCTACGTCATTTGGACTTTGGTCGATAGTTAGTTTGTTGGCAATCATATCAAATCGCCTTATTTATCAATATGTGGGAAAACATATTTTCGCTAGCTTTCTTGCTGATAATGATCTGTTACTCTAATGCTACTTTGGACGAACTGGAAAGTCGAATGAACGTTAAATTCCAAAACATGGACGCATTGTTACGAGAACAGAATGAAAGAATTCGTAATCTGGAGAATACAGTGAATATACAAAAAGTGGAAATAAACGAGTTAACAGGTGAACTTGGCAATGTCAAAATTGAAAATGGCAAAAAACAGAAAGAAATTGTTAAAATGAAAGAAACAATATCGAAGCTCTTGCAGAATTATGGCGATGAAAAAGATAAAAATACTGTGAATTACAGTGGAGGGAAAGACGATGAAATGGCGATGAATGTAAAGAAGAATAACAGTATGTACATCACAACAATAAATCATTAATCATATGCACCTTTGACAAAGCTTTTTTTCTAATTCTTTTATTTATTTACTAAATCATTTATTATTGTGGATTTATTTTTATTCGTTAGATACTAATGTTCGTAGATTTCATAGATTTAGACGAACGTCAAGTTAAAATTGTCAACGAAGTATAAATTTTCTATATGATTATATGCAAACTTTGACCAAACTGGCAATATAAGACTATGAGAAGATAACACCAGTTAATAAACTCCTTGGTAATCAAAAGTTACCAAATTAAGGTGACAGTAGTTTACCGATGTTCAAATCTCGTTTATCGAGTAAAAAGAGACAAATCAAGGTAACAAACAAACCTATTACACCACTGTCCCAGGTTAGGGGGGAGGGTTGGGATCCCGCTAACATGTTTAACCCCGCCACATTCTCTATGTATGTGCCTGTCCCAAGTCAGGAGCATGTAATTCAGTGGTTGTCGTTTGTTTATGTGTTACACATTTGTTTTTCGTTCATTTTTTGTACATAAATTAGGCCGTTAGTTTTCTCGTTTGAATTGTTTTACATTGTCATTTCGGGGCCTTTTATAGCTGACTGTGCGGTATGGGCTCTGCTCATTATTGAAGGCCGTACGGTGACCTATAGTTGTTAATTTCTGTGTCATTTGGTCTCTTGTGGAGAGTTGTCTCATTGGCAATCATACCACATCTTCTTTTTATACTGATGGAATCGCATGAAGAAGCGAGACCATGTGTGTTGACAAATAAGCGTTTCCTCTTATGCATGATTTACCCGCCATGCAAATCCACACTTTGTCAGTCAGAAATGGGACGCATTTGGTAGAATAACAGATCTGACGACTAAATTAGTACCAAAGATCTAAGACCGCGAAAAAACGTCGCCATTGATATGAGACACTGACACGACGTATCGGTCAACTATTTCGTTATGGGACTGTAAAACTTATGTTGTGTCATAATAGTGTTGTGTCATAATTGAGTGATAATAGTTTTTTAGATCAACGTTTTTTAATAAGAGATTTTGTCAACGTTTGATAGTGATACAAAGAATTCGCCAATCACAGTTCAACAAGGGTATACAACAGAAATGAATTACATTCCATACTGCTTGGGTAACAATTGGCCCACATCAGTTACTTTTGGACTTTTTTTATTTGTTTGCTTTGCCTGCGTAATTTTTTGTAAAGAACCTCAATTATTATCATGTTGCTAAGACGGCGGATACATTGGGTGCAACTTTAAACACCCTAAGACGGACGATTAACGCAAAAATGCAATCGCAATACCTCATGCGGCACTTTGTGTGTAAAGATGTAACAAAACAAAAGTAACTCCAAGGTAAATTCAAAAAGGGGAAGTCCAAAAAAAAAACTGACATAACAAATCGCTCGACCATTAAAACCAACGGAACAACTGGCAGTCAACTGAATTCCTAACTTGGTACAGGCATTTCCCGAAGAAAATGATGGGTTAAACCTGGTTTAATAGCTAGCTTAACCTCCCGGTTCTATGAAGTTGTATATAGTTCCGTTATAGTGAGCAACCCAAACAGACATTAATATCCTTATTAGAAGACAGCTGTTCACCGACCAGTATAAAATATTAAATGAATCCTTTTAAATGTTTTTCATTTCTATTTTTCTTCTTTTTTTTTTTAGATAAAAGACTGCTTCCAATAAGTATTTCTACTACTCAAACCAGTTCACGTACAGTAGCATTTTATGCGCAAATGAGTACGACGGCTAGTAATCTGGGTCAACATCAAACCTTAGTATTTGACGTCGTGAAAACGAACATTAATGGAGGTAATGGTGGTTATAGTGCCTTTTCCGGAATTTTTACGGTTCCATTCGATGGCATTTATGTCTTTACACTAAGTTTACGTGTTCAATCTCATTCATTCGGATCATACGTTATTACTAAAAATGGCGATTCTGAAGGCACGTTCGTTGGAATATTGGAGGGGTCAAACGTACACAGCCAGGTGGCTGGAACCATTGTTATTACAGCAAACCAAGGGGATATAGTTTTCGTAAAAACCCATCCCACATTGAGTCATAAAGGAGATGTAGTTAATGATGAAAATGGACAGTCAACTTTCGCTGGATGGTTAATCTAAAATAAACGATTGCAACCTAAAATAATAAATCAATAGACAACACCACAGCTAACAAACACAAAATAAAAAAGTAAGACTTAAAAGTGGTATTTAGCTAAGAAGTTTTCATTATTTTCTCATAGACTTAATAGCCCTATCGATTAAGGTAATGATTATGATGCCGATTTTAAATCACTGTGCCTTGTTCTTTCTTGTATAAACATTTCGCTTATTGGTAGTTATAGAAACTATACAGTGTTTCTTTTTTCTCTATTGTGAATATTTTGTGTTGGACATTGCACGAAATTATGTCTTTATGTACTGTTCATAACGCAACCGCATGTATGTTGCCATCTTCTAGGAAGTACAGTAACCCATATTGAGTGTAGGACGGCATGATTTCAAAACAGCAGGATAAGTACGCTCAGCTTGGTTTCATTTACTGCACTTCAATATTACTCTATAATTTTTGGATTGTGTTGTGTTTTCGTTACCGCTATTTTTAGAGTTAATTGCTTTCCCTGTACTTCATGTTTTTATGATCGAGATTAAAAAAAGGGGATGAGATCTTAAAACACTAGTTAAACCCCGCCACATTCTGTGTGACTTCCCCAAGTCGACATCCTTGTCTAATGTCATATCTTTATGTTGTTATTGTAATTTGGAGAATTCGGAGAATTTGGTGTAGATTGCAGATATTTAATTGTGTTAGTTTCATTTAATAATAACATTGGTAGACTTGAGACGATTAATTAACTTCATATTTTGTGTAAACATCTGTCTGTTGTTGAAAACTGTATATTCAATAGCAATACAAATCCTACAAAAACATGGTAAATCCAAGTACGCCGGAAAGATAAGCAGTTCCTACTTCACCATTTACATCCGTCATATAAATAAGAAGATGTGGTATGAGTGCAAATAACTATCCAAGTCACAATGTGTAAAAAGTGAACAATTATAGGTCAAAGTACGGCCTTCAACAAGGAGCCTTGGTTCCCACCGAACAGCAAGCTATAAAGGGCCCCAAAAAGACTAGTGTAAAACAATTCAAACAGGAAAACCAACGGTCTGATCTATATAAAAAACGAGAAACGAGAAACACTTATGAACCACACCATCAAACGACAACCACTGAACAACAGGCACCTGACTTAGGACAGATGTATGAAAATGCAGCGGGTTGAAACGTTTTAACAAGCACCAACCTTCACTCTAACCTGAAACAGTGGTATAACATTACAACATAAAAAGACACACAATAAAATATCAATTGAAATGGCTTAACTCGATCAAAAAGACAATACACACAAACAAGTAAATATATACTGAACGAATAAGTTTGATCTATGACACAGTATAAATAAAAAAGATGTTTCAATCATGTTGGTTTTTTTGTATTTTGTATTTTATCTTTCATGTTACTATTGTTTAAATATAATAATAAGTTCAAGTCGGTGATAACGCATAATCAATAGCGGATAGCACAATGTCTCTTTCTACCTGTAGGGAATGCTTTAATCTATCGATTAGAGTTACAAAAGATTATTTATTCCTTTACATGGCCAAGAGTGTTAATTTTTTCTGGACAAATGATTGACATAGCCGTTAGTGAGGGAAACAACACAGACCATGGAAACTAAAATAATATGAAAAACACATACAACAACAATAAAAACACAATACAAAACCCCACTATAAACTATGGGTAATTCTTGAATTTACCGCCTGAACACTAAAGCGTGAAACTGTGTTATGGATTAAATAAACATTTTCGGTACACATAGTCTTCAACAAATATCATACCAAATAAGGTTTGCCAGCGAATTCACCTATGGCAGCATTTTATGCATACATGAGTAAATCGGATAGTAGCCCAGTTCAACATCAAACCATAATATTTGACGTTGTGAAAACGAACATATATGGAGGTTATGGTGCATATAGTGCATTACCGGAATTTTACGGTTCCATATGAGGGTACTCATGTCTTTACAATAAATGTATGAGTGTGCTGTACAAAATAACTAAAAATGCAGTTTTTGAAGGCACATTTGTTGTAGTATTGATAGATACCAGCGCAGAGGATCAGGTGGTCGGAACCGTCGTTTTTACTGCAAACCAAGGGGATTAAGTTTTTGTGATATCTCATTCAATTTTGACTCTCAAGGTGATAGTAATCTTTCATCTAGATGGTTAATTTCAAATTAATTTGAAATAAATGAGTTTGATATTCAATTGCTCTATATTGTACGGGCGAAGGAAAGTGTCCCAAGCGAGTAAGTAGTTACTCCACTAGGAGTATCCGTCGAGATTCTGATGACAAGTAAAACCCGGTGACGAAAAGTCAAAAGCTACAGGACAAGATTGTTACTATGACAAATGAAACAAATATGTGAAACACATATTTCGTAATGGTAAACTAAGTTATGAAAGCATCCAAAAAACTTTCGAAGAGATGATTTCAACTTTAATAGTTGTAAACATGAATTTTCTCCCACAGATGTGGATAATTCTATATATGCCAAAAAGACATGTAATCTTTCCGATTGGTCAACATTCCAGATATAAATTATATGTCATCAAAAGCTACTAAGAAGTATATCTTATCATGGAATTTGACCATACAGTGTGAAGTGGTCAAGCGGGAACAGTAGACATGTTACTCTTCTTACGATGATAAAGTTGACAAAACCAATCGTTTATTTACAATAAAAAAAGATGTGGTATGATTGCCAATGAGACAACTCTCCACAAGAGACCAAATGACACAGAAATTAACAACTATAGGTCACCGTACGGCCTTCAACAATGAGCAAAGCCCATACCGCACAGTCAGCTATAAAAGGCCCCGAAATGACAATGTAAAACAATTCAAACGAGAAAACTAACGGCCTAATTTATGTACAAAAAATGAACGAAAAACAAATATGTAACACATAAACAAACGACAACCACTGAATTGCAGGCTCCTGACTTGGGACAGGCACATACATACAGAATGTGGCGGGGTTAAACATGTTAGCGGGTGCCAACCCTCCCCTAACCTGGGACAGTGGTGTAACAGTACAACATAAGAACGAACTATAAAAATCAGTTGAAAGAGGCTTAACTCATCAGATGGATAAAAATACAAATACTACAAATACAAGTGGACGTGGCCGGGTACTTGTACATCCAAACAACAAAAAGACACTAAGTACAGATCTGAAAGTACTCGCAGTTACTGACAGCTAGTTCAAAGCCACTAACAACTAATAAAAACAATCATGCATCTAAGACGTAATTCTCAATCCGTACACATCCAACATCCAATGGATTTAGTGTAAAGATGTCATAAACAGTCAGAGAAAAACATGACCTTGTGCAATGCCAAGATACAGGTATCGACAGATTGTAGATCTATGAATGTGTATATGTATATAACAATAATATTTAGTTTGCTTTTAATTTACTGATAACAAAATCAATATTAGTACCAATAAAAACAATATTTAATGATCTAATTACAGTGTTGAATTGGTAACCTCTTAGAATAACTTTATTTAAAGGATCGATAAGCTTACCAGGATCGTTTCTAAATTTCCGGGCACGGTAAACAATATTGCCGTTAAAATGAGGATGTGCAATCCCGTTTAAAATAAGTTTTCTACAGGTACAACCAAACTTCAAAACCAACATTGAATTTTTATCCAAAATCTTTATATCTGTGGAAGAATTTCGTAAAGGTTTTAAGTAATTTGTGGTAACGAAATCCCTGGCTAAATATTTTACCAGTAATACATAGATTACGTTCGTTAAAATCAAAAACGTCACAACAGACACGGGCATAGCGAACGAGTTGTGAAATATAAACACCGTAAGATGGGGCCAAAGGAACATCACCATCCAAAAAGGGAAAATTAACAATAGGGAACGAAAAATCGTCCCTTTTGTCGTAAATTTTAGTGTGGAGTTTCCCGTGTAAAACCGAAATATCTAAATCTAGGAAAGGCCAGTTGTTACCGTTTAAATTTGATTTATTTAAAGTAAGATCCTTGGGGTAAATTTCGGCAGTATATTGAGAAAATTCTTGATTATTTAACGAAAAAATATCATCAAGATAACGGTAAGTGTTGTTGAATTTATCAATTAAATGCAATTTAGACGTCTGTATACATACTGATTGAAAGTTATTTTGAAACCACGGTCATCCATCAAAAAAAATATTTGTTAAACTATGTTATTTGTAATATACATACAATACGTATTGTCTTATTTTTATAACTTATCGACAGAATTGCATAGAGGTGTGTTGAACTGATATTTGACAAAAATGTTTTCTTTGCTGCATAATCATGTACATACAAAAGCTCTTTTCAAACATAAATTTTCTAAGTGTTCCATACACTAGCATACAGATTCTCGACCTCTGTCTTTTTCTACCCCCTCTCGTTTACAACCTTACAAAACAAACATACATGGTGAATATGAGTAAAAATACTTATCGAATAACTTAAGGACTAAAACTGTTTCATCATAATATCATTTATTCTTTATTCCGAAGAGAATCGTGAATTCGGGAAGGGAAGTACTTCTTACATGTAAAACAAGGTAATCGTTTGCCACAGTAAGGGACCATTGAGACGTGGTGTTGCTATGACAAGGCATGAGTCATTGTATTTTGATATGGTCGTGAACAGTTCGAATTTTCCTATTCTCAAAGATAAAATCCCAATCAAGTTATTCAACTTTTAATCCGCTGTAACACTCAGGTAAATGAAACACGAATAGGGTTTATTTTTTTAAAAGATATTCGATGAAACCATATATAAAACATTCAAGTATCCCTTCCCCCAAAATACACCTCGAAGGAACTCATTGCAATCCCTGAATTTCTTAAGGCTAGCAAAAATATGATTGGCTCTTTGACTATTTATAAGCAGCATTGTACATTTACCTGCATGAAATCTATATAATTTATAAATCACAATAATTTGCGTTACGGTGACCGCGCTATTGGTGATCTGTAATATGTACTAGTTAATCTTTGAACCAAATTTCTCAGATCTTATCTATTTGTAAAACTAACAATTCCTGTGCACTAAACAGGCTCAATACATGTGAAAAATGTTTTCGTTAGCTTTGTTGCTTATTATGATTTGTTACTCTAATGCTACTCTGGACGAACTGGAAATTCAAATGAACACCAAATTCCAAAACATGGAGAAATTATTACGAGAACAGAATGAGAGAATTCGTAATCTGGAGAATACAGTGAATATTCAAAAACAGGAAATAATTGAGTTAACAGATGAAATTAGCTATGTCAAAATTGAGAATCGAAAAAAGGAGAATGAAATTATTGAAATGAAAGAAACTTTATCGAAACTCTTGCAGAAATATGACGATCGCAAAATAGATAATTCTGTGGATACCAATAAAGGGAAAGACGATGAAATGGCGATTGTTGAAAAGAAGAATAACAGTATGTACATTACATTATGTTTTTTGCATTTACTAAGTAGTACAGTATATCATTTTCATTTTTGTTCAATTAGAAGATGCTTTATTCGGTTTGTATCCCGTGATTTATCAGTTAACTACTACACACGCGTTTCATATTCCTACTTGACGCCATTTAGGTCTTAACAATAGCGCTCAATTTATTTGTTACCCATTTACACCTCAAAAAATTTGTATACTGTATGCATCCTGTTCACGAATACTCCTATTTTGGATTACTATTTATAAGTGAAAAGGTTTGTCATGTTGGCAGATGTTATGCTCTAAAATTTTGCAAAACTGAGACCAATGCAAGTTCTAACATTATCTGCCAATAGACTATTTTCATATTACCGACTTTTGACTCCGGATTATATAATTTGTCGACTGGTTCCCTTGGACATCATGGTACTCGGTCAAGTAAGAGCAACCCAAATAAGTAAAATCAAACATATAATCGGTGTAATTTGAGGGGAAAGTTTATTGTTTTCCGATGATTTTGTAGTGAAAAAAAAATGTTAAGCAGGTAATTTTCCCCCAAAATTGTACCGATTGAACGCTTGGTTTTACTTCTTTAGTTTGCTCTTACCTGACTTGGTACCATGATGTCCAAGGTAACCAGTCGACAAATATTATAATCCGAAGTCAAAAGTAGGTAATATGAAAATAGTCTATTGTTTGACTGGTTGTATAATAGATTATTTTTCCAATAATTTGTTAATGAGGTGTTGGAAAGATTTTTTTTATAAATTATTTGCTTGAATAGATTCGAAATAAGCCGTTTGAAACCTGTCGTATCATAACTAACATGTTATCAAACAGTTGTCTAGGGGTCAAAATGGGAGATGTGTTTAAAAAGCCTTTCTTTGTCACCCCTTTAACAATCAGACAAGTTACAGGTAAAAATCATTACGGCACAAAATTGCATAGAAAATTTTGAAAAATTCAGACAAGTTGCTCAATTAACCACCAAACATTTCCAAATTGCTTCTACCACTTCTGTGGTCTCATCGTCGTGTGCTCACCTCATGTGCGGGAAGTTGTGGGTTCGATCCCCGGCTGGTCAAAACCGAAAACTTCAACATTGAAACTTTCTACTTCTCCACTGTGCATGCGGTATAACGGAGTAAGAGTAAAGACTGATCGTCTCGGTGTCCAAACAATGTGTCTGTGTAGCGTAATATGTCTTCCTCTAGAATATTACCTTGTGAACTATTACGTTAAAATCGCTGAGCGTGTCGGTCCAGTACACAGCATGGTTCCTTTTAATATCGCATTAACATGTCTTTCTGAATATGCGATTAATTAGTTCCTGTAAATTAAGAAGCAGGATATCACATTTTAATTTTTATGGTGACGTTGTTTAAAAAGTCCGTAAATTTAGTCACGATCCGTTTAAACTAATTGATCCTTTGAATAAACTTATTTTTAAAGTTTTTTCAAATTAACACAGTAGTAAACTCTTTGAATATTGTTTTTATTGGTACTAACATGGATTTTGTTTTCTGAAAAATTAAAACATAACTAGATATATATTGCTATATATGTAAAAAGTAAAATAACAAAAATACCGAACTCCAAGGAAAATTCAAATCGAAAATTCGCTTATCAAATGGCAAAATCAAAAGCTCAGATACATCAAACGAATGG